TTTCTAACTGACGACGGACTGACTTCTCGCAAAGCTATCAAACGAAACGATGCTCATTTTAAGGACCGGTTCATCAACGTACTTTTTACTCAAACAGGCATCCATATCATTTGTAATAACCGTGAATAATTATTAACCCTTTGCATGGTGCGAGACTGAATATGCCGCAGACAACTCTCTCCGGCGAGTTAAAACAGCGAGGACTGAAACAGGTCAGTCAAACAACCCTACCGCGACAAAGAGCTTAACAAACGTCTCCCTTCTGGATCTCGATGGGCTGGCTGACAGATGTAGAGGACGGAGATTATGTTTTAAGAAGGCTGGCTGGCACACTGAATGAACTGCCTACGAAACTCACAAAAAATACGTTATGCGTAGAAGAATACCAGGGCCGTAGTATGCGACTGGTAGACGGCAAAAGGATATCAACATGAATTATTTGGCAAGCCCCAACACCAGAACTTCTATGCCAAATGCGCTCTATCAATATCGCCGAGGCGAAGAAGATCAAGGCACATGTTTTCGGTATGTGCAAAACCGAAGATCAGTCGAACTTATCGCACAATGGAACAACGGTAATCAGACATTCCTTTAAAAAGCATAAGTAAACCGGGGTCGAAGAAGAAGTATATGATTCTTCGTAAAGAAAAGGCTTGTACCGCTGGTAGTCAGCTGCTACCTCACGTTATCTCGCGTCGCCGTATTAATTCTGCGGGTGGACAAGACATAATTAGTACAAATAATCAGTGTACAGCCCAAAACAGCAAGTGGACGATGAAGAACTGGAGCAGTTCTACCAGCAACCAGAAAGCGCCACGCAAAAGACGCCCACCTACACAATCACACTAGGAGATTTCAATGCTATCGAAAGAAAAGAAACAACTGAGACAGCGCGTTTCATCGGCCGGTTTGTAAGGAGGAGCGAAGCGAACGTGGCTATTCCGTCGTAGCGTTTGCCGAAAATAACTGCCACCACATCATGAATACCATGCTTGAAAAAGCTGAGTGGCAGTGGAGGTGGAGGCCCCTAATGGAACGACCCTTAACGAAATCGGCTAAGGGAAACAAGGCGTACAATAACAAACTTATCTGTCATCAGACATCTGCCACCACTGGTTCAGACCACAGACAACTCCGCTCCACAGTCACGGTCGATGTCGCTAAGGAACATCGCGTCAGAAGGGCTCAAAGACTACCAGCCGAATATTCGACCTGGAAGCTTTCGCAGGCCAGTGTCCTCAACTAAGCCTCGAAATAGACATCAGCAGAGGCACTGATGCAGGCTATAAGCACTTCTTTGATACCGTCAAAACTAATATCCGGTTATCAAACAGAGCAGCAGCGTTGACGGGGAAACAATGCACCATCCCTGCAACAATGCAGCTGTTGGCAAAAACAGCGAGAATGAAGGCTGGTGTACAACTGGAGGACGAGTACACTATGTTTTTCAAGAAAATACATAAAAAGATTACTACGACCAGTACAGGAGAACGAAAATAAGAGATGCCGTATTATAGAATAGATTGAAGGCCGCGGAAATGGAACCCTCCCCAACCCAAACGGCATTTCAGCAGCACTAAAGGACGAAGAACCACATATCACTGCCGCATGAAAGCGATGACATGAGGTTCTGTAACAACCTCTACTCCTTTCAGTAAACCGAAAGCTGCCGCACATTGCCCCGCAAAATTTTTCACTGTAATCTTGGACAAAGTAGAGTGGAAAACAAGGTTATCAAGAGTGGCAGATGTCAAAAACTGGGACGGCATAAAACGGAAACATCTCAAGTTAAGAGGTATGACTCCATTCAAAGCCAGTGCGAATGGTTTACAGACTACATCTGGCTGAAGAAGACGTCAGAAGGATGGAAGCGCTCTTCGACGATTCCTCTATTCAAGAAAAGTGATGATGAAGACCTCTAGAACCATAGCCAAAACACACTCCTGTCACAAATCTACAAGGTCTTTACCCGAATCTTGCTCAGTCGTATCTGGAAAGACTGAAAACTGCACGCTAGCAACTAACAAGCCCTTTTCCGAACAGAATTCTCCACAATAGACCAAGCTCATGTAGTAAAGCAATTACAAAAGAAGTACGTGAAATACCTATGCACTCTCCATCACACATTCATCAACTTCAGAAAAGGGTTCGATTCCACAGAGCTGAACGTTATACTGAACACTTTGCAGGACTGTGGCATCAATCTTATTTACGTCGATCCAATCGCCGAACTGAACACTTACACTGCAACCGACATCATGTCATCTGAGGAACCGTGTCGAATTGTCGAATCAACATCAAAAGAGGAATAAGCCAAGGAGACACTTTCTCTCTTAAGCATTTCGAAATGGCGCTGGAATCCGTCTTTAACCTTCTGAGTGGGGCAGCGGCATTAACATGGAGAACAACTCACCCACCTGCTAACTAAAAACGACATCATGATCTTTGTCAGTTACCCAGTGGAACTCAAAGAAAGCTTGTGTCTTTGCAGAAGAAGGTACGGGACACTGATCTGGAGATAAACATCTCCAAGACGAAATGGACGCGCAACAAGCACAGGTCTGCGAGTACCATCTTCATTAACGGCGAAGAAGTGAAAAAGTCGCTTGCTACGTACACCTATAGCCACCTAATAGACTCAAACAACAATATGAAAAAGGATATTAGTAGAAGAACGAAGGCGGCATGGGCAAATCTGAATGATATTTGAACATCGTTGCTGGATAACGAATTGTCAATGTCCACGAAGAAACAACTGCTCGACTGCGCCATCCTACCCACCAAGCTTAATCACGCTGAGTGCTGATCT